CAGTGATTTATCATATAGGTCTAATATTTGGTTCATTATTATAATCACCTAACATCTATGTACAAATAAAACTGATGTAAATACGAGTATCTAACATGATATTCAGAATAAGAATGTCAGATAAGTAATGTATAATAATAATGTACATGAAATATGAATATACTCAGAATGACCCATTATTATATTGAAATAAATGAAAATAAAAATAAATATAAATATCATAATGTTAAATATATCATATATGTATTATTTATATTGTATATATCATATTATTTTTGATGATCTGATATGTTTTGCAAAATAGATAAAAATTTCAATTATTGTATGAAACAGACATATTCGTAGAAATTGTGACATACACCAAAAGAAAGTTGTAAGATATTATTTTCATTACCAAGAATTACCTATATAATGTAATACCTATTTCAAAAATTGCAATTATTAAAAAAAAAAATGTTTGCTTTTATTGATTGTGTGCGTAATAGTTTTGATAGTTATGTCATAACAAAGTTTATTAGCATACCATATTATCGTATAAACCATGAAATTAATAGTTGATCGAATATTTTTTATATTTTAATTAAAAACTTTTTTATAATTTGTATTATAGTTATACACAATGTCACAATTTGTAAACATAAAAGTTTTACAATAAGCGTATATGTGCTAGCTATTTCTGGTAAAAATGTTATTTCTGACTTGATATAGAACATAAAATTCTGAATAGATAAAATCACCTAACGATGACAACTTTTTAAAATTTATGGTTGTTTATTACTAGAAGTAATAACACTGTAATACGATTAAGCTATATTGGTAACTATTTATACGTAATTTAACCATGGTTTTACATTGCGTATGATATACTGACTCAATATTCAATATGCAAATAATTTATTACATGATTAATTCGTAAATATTTACAACAAAGCTAATAACCAACTTTGTATTGACCCGCAAAACCGTAACACATAATGTTTGAAAACTGGAATACTATAATTAATTTATGATTTTTAAATTATTGAAAATATCTCTATTTTTAACACAAGTAATTAAACTTCGTTAAAATACCACCTGCTCAAAACGAACACTACCGTCATCACCAAATTCACCAGTTCACAATGTGAAAAAAAATCAAGGCTTTCAGTTGGCCTAATCGTTTTACCACGTTGGCGGCGATTGAGGACAATTTTGTCGAACTCGACACCTCCTGACCTGTAATTTATATGATAAAATTGCTTAATTTATTCCAATCAGACCAATTTACAATTTTTAAGTCCTGCCAATCTTAATGTAAAAACATTAAAAATTACTCTGCACTTAAAAACGTGTTAATACATCTCTCCAGTACTAACGATTTCCCATATAAATTATCATATTTTTTCTGATTGTTTACTCTTATGAACACCTAAAAAATTATAATGTTATCTTGGATCACTTGGCTGCAACAAATGTTAATTTCTACAAATTTTTTCCACCACCATAGAATATTAATAATTAAAAACGCTTTTAATTCATTGAAAAATTAAAAATTCGACATTTGAACACTTATGATTTTCTCGCCTTGAGTTTGATAACAGGCCATTTCACTCTAATATTTAAACTAAACACACGCATAATTGGTTTTATTAAATGAAAATTTGGCAAGTTAGACGTTTGTAAGACCAAGTCAATACACATGCAAGTTTTAAATTTTCTTAGTAATATTAATATTATAATTAATTACCTTAATATCACTATTCGCAGAATACATTATCTATTTACATATACACTTTTAATTAACCTTCAATTTATATTTATTATAATTTAAAACTATATGCACTTAATTATTTGCAACTAATAATTTTAACTAACCATATTGTCCATATTTAGATAATAAGAAAATGTAGAATAATAATTGTAATCCACAACATATATAGAGTGGGTAATAACTTATAAAACCATACTACTCAAATTTCATGACTAGAATTTTTTTATGAACTAAATGTATATAAATAAATACTTTATCTTTCAATAATATTTTATATTTATTTATTTTTTTTTTAACGTTAAATTATTTCTAAATAATTTTTTCATAAAATATCTCATTTAAAAAGCATTATTTTTTATATTTCATTATTTATTATATAAGAACCATGAATATAAAAATTAATTCCTAAAATTTCTTAATTTTTAATTAAATGGAAAAAATTATTAATAACCAAATATGTATTTTATTTGGTTTTGAACTTAATTTTTATACTGTCGTTCTTTAATATTTTTTATTTAAAACAAAATACAAATTTCAAGACTTAACACAAAATCACTTAATTTATTTTTATACTCGATAGTAATTAAAAACTATTAACCATGAATAAATAAATTACAGTTAGAAGTTATACACCACTTTCGTTTTTAAAAAAAAGCATTGTTATCGTTTATGTAATATAATATATTAAATTGTTTAAATTTCACTGATATTTAATGTCTTAACTCACAAGAAATATTTAGATATTTTATAAAGTGTATTTAAAATAACATAATTAACTTTGTTATCAAAACTAGTCACCTTAAAAATACTTTACTATACGTAAAATCATTAAAATAACAAATTTTATTAGAAAGTCAAAAATAAAATAAAAACAACTATTACGTATTAAATGTTTAAAAATTAACAAAAACTATTTTATTTAAAACACTGAAAAAAGATAATTCATCAAAATGTAAATATTCAAGTTTTTTTTTTTTACTTTCTTAATTTCATTTAATAGAATAACTATTGAAACTATACACGATTACGTAAAAAGTAATTATTATTATTATTTTTATTATTGTCTAGTATCAGTACAAAAAAACACAATTACAATAAATTGCGTAGATCTGTCATAAATCGATCATAAATTAGTTTTTAGGTATTTGTAAATTAAAATGTGATAAAAGATATGAAAAAAACTTTCATTTTCAAAGATTTTAAAATTATTTTTACAACTGTTTATTTAGGGTTAGATACATTATTACGTTAGTTTGACATAAATAGTATTTGAAATGTGTAACATATTTTACAGGATTATACATATTATATTATGTTTATCACATATACTACCAGTGGCGTATTTGAGGAGGAGGCGATCGTTCCCTCATTATCCAGTTATTTTTTTGTATATTTTATAACTTTATATTAAAAAAATATTAAATTTTAAATTTTAATCAGTCATATTTTTATATGTAAGATCTACGCGTCCATCTTTCATATTAATAAAAACATCGATAACTTTATCATTAAAGTTCTAATTGCATACATAGGTATATTAGTATTATAGGCATAGGCGAAACTACGGGTCAGGCCAGTCAGGCTATGGCCTGACCTAATACTGGCGGAAAATTTTTATAATGTATATTATATATTTTAATAATTATTTGGGCACATATTTTTTTATATTTATTTTATTTGGCCTGACCTAATAAAAATGTCTAGTTTCGCCTATGATTATAGGTGTAACTAAAGCGGGGCTTTGGTGGTCTTTAGTCCCCCCCAAAAAAAAAAAAAATTTTTGGGTAAATCTATGTGCTTATAAACAAGTAAGTATTTACTTTATTTTTGCCTAAAATATAAAAAAATATAGTGTTTCATATAAACGAATAACCATTTAAGTCAATTGTGAACACCAATAAAAACAATAAATAATAATTAAATTTAAAAAAAAAGTTGCAGAAATGACATTTTTTAAAACTTTTGTTTAATTGATAAGAAATGTATAACTTGAATAATTCTAAAATATTCTTATTTAAAAATGAATACTTGTAAAATTATGCACTGATTATACATATTATGTATATATAAATAATATGATATTTTCTTATTATTGAATTTCAAAGTTTTCTGACTGATGACGTTTCACAAAAAATGTGACTCGTGTCGTTTTTACAATCATTGATTTAAATATAATATTATTTTACTGTAACTTCATTGTATTTTATTTACCTTTCTCAAAATATGCAATGTGTAAAAAATGCAAGTATAAAATGGACTAGTAGGTATATGTATTCAAAAACATAAACATATATATATATATAATGTATTGTACTTAACTAATGTATAATGCTCGTAAATTTAGTACCAACCTCCCCCTCCATAAAATTAAATCAAATACACCACTGTATACGACAATACGACATTGAACAATATATAAATATATATATAGGATGGTTATCAAATAAACCGTATAAATAAGTATTCTATTGAAATAATATTGATTTCTCATCAGTAATTTTACTCTAGTTTACATTAATACGAATTTACTTCATTCACGCCTTTTAAGACCACCTACCTTATATGTATCATAATTGACATTTGACGTCAGAAGAATTCTTAAATGACGAAGGTCTCTCTATATAGTATTATATTCAACGTTTATATCATCTTTATATCGGTATCAATACAGCGATATTTGTTGTCCTAATGAATAAATATAGGTACAGTGAATGTAGGTAAAATATTATTATAGTTAATGCAAGTGGTCGGGTCAGAGAAATATTCTCACCGACAACGCTACCGCTATAGGGTTTGCTCAATTAGTCCGCTGCCATCGGCGGCACGCGTTTTCCATAGAATAGTTGTTGTTGCCGCTAGCATACATTACATCCAAGCCTTTACTACTACTATGAACACTTATACATACGTAACACGTACACATAACATAATTAACGTTTTTAAGATCCGCGAGCAGAGTAATATGACGAAACTTTATTATTATTTTATGATGTTAGTATGTGACAATGTTTTTCGAACGTAAATAATATGTTAAAACCAAAAACAATAATATTTTATACATGAATATGACTTTAAACATGAAACAATTAACGCTTATTAAGATTTTCATACTGCTATGGATGCTCAATGTGCAAATTTAATATGTATCCTGCACAGTGGTGTTGATTAATTATTTATTCTACTTGGACAATCCATCGGATCATTCAATTATATAGAAACCAAAAAATAAATTTAAATATAATTATCTTACCTGTGAGCTGCCACGTACATTTTAAAGTACACCAAAATAAGAGCAGCACAAGGAACTAAAAATGCGATCACTAGCAACACCAAACCATGTGTTTTTTCCATCATCGCCTCAGGAAACTTTTCATATATTAACAAGTCCTTAAATAACATTGGTGATGTCAACGCAGCTGATATGCTCCAAACCGTACCTATGACTGAATATTAAGTATGAATTAATAAAAAAACATCTATAAAATTCAAAATTTTAAGAAAATGCATAATTATATTAAATTTAAACATAAAGTATCAATTTAATATTATAATATAATTATAGCCATAGTTATGATTTTTCCTATTTGACAATTTTTTCTAGCTTTGTTTATTGTATTTAATATTTTTATTATTATTTATCAAAAGCCCTGGAATTCTCTTAATTAAAACTAAACAATCACTTAATATTAATAATGTATATTTAGATTTTAAATAAAGTAATTATGTACAAATTTAAGAATATGTATAACAAATATTAATTAATAATAACTGAATAAATTCAACTATTACCTATAGTTTTATATGTACAATATTAATTTGTGCATTAATTAATGGTTGCTATCTACAATGTAATTTTTGTCTCTTCAAAGAAAATACAATCAAATAAAATATATCAAAATTTTAGGAACCAAAATATAATTTTTTTTATTTTTTTTTTTTTTAACTACATAACTTAGATAGTAAGATTATTAATTTTTTATCAAACATTCTCAAAAAAGTTAAATGAAAAAGTTCAAAATAAAAATGATTTAAAATACGACTTTAAATTACCCTGATTAAGATATTTTTTTAAATATTTAATCAAATATTGAAATAATTAGGTGTACGAGTGTACAGTGAAGGATTTAGGAATACGTCAATATTAAGAATCTATACAAATCTTTAAATCAAAATGGTAGGGAAAGAAACATGTAATTATGTTTATTAAACGATTGAAGTCAATCACATTATCTTCGGTTGTCTATATGTTTTATGATAAATAACCAGGGGTTTTTTGGTTTTTATTAACTGTACAAATACTAAAAAAACTGATTTAAAAAAAGAACATAATCCCGGCCATAAAACTTAACATTTTTTTTAATCTTATTACTTTACAACAGATTTTTTTTATAGTAGTAAAATAAGTTAAAATATTGAATTTTAAATATTAAATACATTACTTAATAGTAATCTTACAATCATCATCGGATACCATTTGTTAATATAAATATTCTAAGCTACTACACATAAATACCTATCTATCTTAATAATATTACTTTATACTGGTATATTGGCATCTAAAAATAATTATTTATCGATAATCAACTATGTGTAATGAAATTATTAAAGAATTCAAACACAAAAACAAAAACAAGAAAAATATTGTAATGTTTATTAAATTGATTTAGTTTTTTTTTTTTTTATGTATAATGTACTGAAATAATAATTAATAAACTATTTCTCTTGTGGCCTGGTGGGTGCGGTGGTTGGCTTCAGTCACTAATGTGTTCTGACGTCAAGCATCGGCCGGCATCGCTAGCTCTAGGATGGGTGACCGTCTGAGTTCTTAGTAACGAATCCATGGCATACACACACGTGTTCCAACCCCACTAAATAGACCTTGCAAACAAAAAAAAAAAAACCTACTCTTCCTATCCATAGTTAATGGCCTTAGTTTCCAGTTAATAAGATTAATAATAAAAAATAAATAAATAAAATATTTTTCCCTTTTTTGAAGAGGTACCTCACTTAAAATTAAGAACCGAAAATCTCTCAATTGTTTAGATCGAATTAAATCTGAACTGATATAGTCATATTTGTTCTTTACGCCCTGTATTTATGTGAATTGCTTTTTCATTAATGCAAACACTTAAATTTAAAATATTATGATTCTTAAAGACATTTTTATGTGTTAACAACAATATATTTCTTAAATTTAATAAATTCCAATTACAAAATATTAATCAAATAGAAAGAATCATAATATTAAATTATTTTATTTTGAATCATCATCCAAATTGAATAACCATGGATCCAGAAGAGACTGAGAAGCTTAAGCTATACCTCTTTCCTAAAGACGATTTGTTTTATAGTAAAATTTTGATAAAAATTATATTTTTCATCTTTCTGGAAAAAAAAAATATGGCGATCCCCTCTCTACCTTCAATTTCAGATTTATTAATCCATATCGAGATAGTAACTATGTTGTTTACTAAAATAAAAAAAAGCTTATACTAGTATTTTACGGTTAAAAATTTTTTATTATTAAAATATAATATAATCTCATATTTTGATATAAAAAACCATCAAATGTTACATATTTTTATCCTCTTAATTAAAAAAGATTTTTTTTAAATAATGAACTATAAAAGACACACATATAAAAAAAAAACTTCAAAATTTCAGTCAATACGAAAATATAAAAATAATTTATGATTATAATAGATACTAAAAATTTAATCTATTATAATCATTTAGCATTTTTTTAGCACTATTATACAATTTAAAATTCTAATAAATAAAATAAAATGATTTTAATTCTTTTTAACCAATGTGAGTTATTAATGATGAATTATTTTCTTCACCAAGAATGCGAATATAAATATATAGGAATTAAAAATAAATAAAAATTTCCTAATTTAATTACATGATCTTAATTTTGTACTTAAATCATTCATCAGAGCCAAGTTTAATCAAAATAAATCTGATGATGCTAATGCAACTTTATACATATAATACATAAAATATTATTATTTTAATAAGCTTAAATTTCAAAATATTTCTAATTATATATACTTAAATTGTATTTTATAACATAATAATATGCAACTATAATGGATGAAATTAAATTTAAAATATTTTAAAATTAGTATTATTTCGAATCCTCAAATATTTACTTAGTTGATTGTTAAATCTATTTGTCACTGTGTTTATAACAAAATGACTAGATTTAATATATTTTATAACTTATAATAATATTATCCTACAACAATAAAAAGTCTTACATATTATGTATAATTTATTTGACCATTATATAATTTTATAATACTAAATAATAAATACCCGTCTCATCATTTAAATTATTATAATAAATTCATCTAGCGAACAAACGTTTTGATGCAGAAAAGACTATAGAGTAGTGTAATACTTTTTAGAAACTTCTGACTGAAACGAGAGGAATAATAGTTTTATGAATTTTATTTTCATTTATTTTTCTCGTTTCTCATCAACTCTCGTTCCGGTAAAATAAATATTAGGTACCTTAGAATTTAAGTCGATTATCTCTTTTAGACTAATGTATTTAGTTTTTATTATTTTTAAGATTTTGAATGGAGCAATGAACGCTTTGATTTTATAATATATTACATGTGTATATGCGTATGTTTTTTAGTGGCTATAAACATGACAAGTAGTTGATAAAACGCTTCGATCTTCAAAAAGAAAGGAGGTTTTATATAGCGCATTGGATCTAACTTGTACTGAAAAAGGTCAAAATAAAAAAATCCTTGTACTTTAAAAAAAAAAAAAGGAAAAACATAAAAAAAAAATAAGAAAAAACGGTAATTTTTAAGCAAATTAAATTTTTTAACTTAATCAATTTTGTTTTTTGGATGTAACTCAAAAACTAACAACCGTAGTCATTTAAATGTACATCAAATTTTTATATTATCATATTCTTTTACAAATTATTTGCTGTAGTTAGAAATGTATATTAATGTTTAGTATTATTCCTAAGATTTAAAAATTAAATACAAAATTCTTCAGAACATTTTTAATCTATGTATAAAAAAAATGTTATCATAAATTCAAATCGATTCTTTATAAGCATTTTATATATAAATTTTACCAAACTCTATATTTACCGTAAAATATTATTTCCCCTTTGAAATGCCATTATATCAATACGAGTACCTAAAAAAAATTTTATTTAAAACAATATTTCTCAAAAATTATACTTATATAAATTAAAAAATTTCGGAAATATGTCGACTCAATTTTTTTGTAGGCATTTAAATTGAATTTTAAAAAATTCTTCAAAATTATAAAAAATTTTAAATTATTTTGTAGTTAAAAATTAAAAATTATTAAATTAATAAATATTAAATAGTATTTATTTGTGTTTTATTATTTTATATACAATGATTTATTGTTGAATTCAAATTAAAATGTATACATCCATTAAACTAAAACATACTCAATGACAAGGTATAGATATACTTAATATCTATTAGTTATTACACAGCAAAGCGTCTATACCTACCCTTGTTTTGTTTTTATTTTTATTTGTTTGACAAATGTCCATAACATTATTATAATTTTGAACACTAATATATTTAAATTTAAATTATGTTCAATATTATTCCTACCATTGAGATATTATATTAAACTTTTTTACATATCCCACAAAATACATCATTGTAAAATGCTAAACCCTGTTTAGAATCAATAATTTCATAGTACTGTTTAATAAATTCATTTCAATTATAATATATTTGAGTAAGATATCTTGTTTTTAATTTCAATATTAATGAAATGAATATGAAAAATACAACAATTTTTAACTCTGCGTATGATCAATTATATTAATTAAAACTTATTACTAAACTGATAATTAACTGGACCTTTAAATATGCAACATTGAGTACGTGTCATTATACAACACAAATAAGTTTCAAAGTTTTATTTTTAACGAATGATTTTAATAATATTACGTAATACGTATCGCACAAATCATCTGTGTATAATATAATATTTATATTTTATACGTAATTAATAATTATAATTATTGTATACAATACGCATATGCCTATTTCTTTCTTTTAATAAAATATACAAATTGTACATTACAAATAATTACATATAATATTTACATATAATTACAAATAATAAAGAAATATTCTCAATATAGATCAAATATGATTATATAATATGGCATTTTCATTTTTAACCTATTTTGATCAGTCATCCGTGAATCATAGTTAACATTACCCATATAATTTATCTACGTAATTATATCAATATATAATATTAAAAGTATTTTTTATTAATTAAATATTAATTTGAATTATCATAAGCTCATATATTTTAAATATTGAAACTATTATAGAAAATAGAGAGTAAATTTTATAATTATAACATTATTGAAGGAGAGAAGCATTAATTTATAAAAAATTCAGATCGAGAAAGGAAATAGTTATTTTAAATTTAGTTTAATGGAGTAGAGAGCAAGACAGTTAGGGAGGTGCAATATGGATAGTGACCCCAGTTCAGTGATTGATTGTATAGAATACTATAGCTAGTGCGTAATTTTGTGTAAGCACAGATACATGAAACAACTAAATAGCTGACTTTGTAATATAAGTAAGTAAAAGTAGCCATATATGCAAAAAGGCAATGTTTATGAAATATTAATAGTGATAAGAATTTTGTTAATTGATAATAACGTCGATCCATTAAATAAATAGTTGTTAAATTAATGTTTACAAAATTTGAAAGTAATTTTCAGAAGAGGGCAAGTTACAAAGTATAATATTATAATTTATAATATAATTCATTTATTTTTATACACAAATCACATTATTTTATTCTATTTATATATATACATCTATTACATAATATAAAACACAGTCGCTTCCCGCTGTCTGTGTCCTTAGATATTCAAAACTACGCAACAGATTTTGATACGGTTTTTCTTAATTGATAAAATGATTCAAGAGGAAAATTAAAATGCATTTAACATGCATAATATAGTAGAAAAACACTGATAATTTTTGATAAATTTACACTTATTTTTAATTGCATGATATATTTTATTTTTTTTTCCTAGCAACCTGACCATCTATTTGTATAGTATCTGTAATTATTTATCTTAATTGGTGTGTAGCTTAACAAATGTTTTTGTAACTATCATTATTATTTTATAACTGTGTCCGAATCGAATAACGAAAACGAATAATCGAAAACGTGTCAGTCATTAGAAATTATAAACTCATGTCTAGAAATACTCATGTATTAAATAAATATAAACTTTATATTAATATAATTTTATTATCTTATATATCAAACGAATAAAACAATCAATACAAATATAATATAATTCAAAAACCACAATTCAAATTCAGATTACGAAATCCGATTATCAGAATCAGAAATATAACATTTTTTATCATTATTATCACTACAATTCAAACGTTAACATTGTCCTGTTAACATATGACCACAGAATAAAATAATATATAATATATCATATAACAGAAAATTTCACTGGCTTATTAATTAACACATAGGTTCTTAACCGGGGGTCCGTAGATGATTATTCTATCCATGTAAGTATTGCTTAAGAATTTCACAACTAATCTTTAATAAATAAAACCACGGATGAAGGAGAATTAATCGAATTTTTTTTTTAAACAGTGACGTAGAACCTTAATTTATTTTCCCAATCGAGCTTCAATAGTTTTTGGGTTAATTTTTAATGTAATAAGCTCTAGATTATTAACAGTATAATATTATTAAACAATCGTGTCCAATATGTATGTTTAGAATTTAAAATAATATATTTTACTCGAAACAAGTATATTTTTTTTTGTAAATTTACACATCTCTCTAACTAAATTTCCCAATTTAGATAAGCATCTTCATTTAAGAATAATATATATATATATATATATATATATATATATATATATTTATAGTATATATTCCAACTAAAAATCTTATCACTAAATTCTTATAAGCTGTCTAAGTTCAAATATTGACAGAAAAGTACATACCTAGAACACTTTTTTGCCTAGTAACATTTGTAGCGTAATGAAGAGGACTAAGAACTGCTGTGTATCTGTCCATTGCAATAACTAATATTGAAAATATTGTAGATGTTGCGACGAACACGGTAAGGGCTTTATTGATGGTCTTTACACCGGATACCAGTAAAGGACCAAGGACGGTAGATGACAGCAAATCAGAAGCAATTAGACTACCGACGAATCTGTAGTAACCATAAACAAACGTCAAATAATTATTATTCATAGTTTATATAAATTATAACAGTTATAATTAAATATAGGGAAAGAAGTGAAATTAGTAAACATAAAACTTTAAATTATATGCATACTAAAAATAATTAAATTGATAAAATCAATTGTATCATCTCATTAACATACAATTACAAAGCTTAATTATGAATAACTAAGTTCGAAAATTATTAATTTATTAAATTTTGATCTTGTCATGTATAAAATTGTTTAAGATAACTCAAAATTTAATCAAATATGTAGAACTTTACATTGTTATAATATTTTAAAATTAGATAGACTAACTCAATATAACTAATAGCATTACCTATATATTAAATTATAACATACTTAAATGTTATCATTAATATTGAAAACCTTACCAGCATTTTCAATGGTAATATATTATATCATATATCATATTTCTATTAAGTTCCAAAAAAAAAAAAAAAAAATTGAATGAATTTAGAAAACATTATTAAAACACCGTACACTTTGGATTTTTGACCAACTTTCATCATCATATATTTATTTTAAATAAAAATATTTATAGCTAGTATAACTTTTTTAAGATACTGAGAATATATAATGAATACATCAAAATATTTATTAGATTCCTAAGCTAATCAGCGTAACTAAAATAAAGAATAAAATGTAATTAATTATATCAATTATCCATCTATGAATCTTAATTTTAAATCTGTACTAAACAATACAAAATAAACAATTAAATATTTAATTTTATTCGTATAATTTATTAATTAAAATTTTAATACGTATGGAATAGCTAATATTATTATTTATTTATATAGTCCATAAGTTAATTACAATATATTCTAGTATTCAACACAGATATACTTTCACTAGTTACACTATAGAAAAATAGGTAAATAATGAACCCTAGAATATCCTCGTTTGACTGTGTCTAATTAAAATAACAATTGTACAAAGTAAACAACTTGACCTGTTTGATGGAGATCTGAGTGAAGGCTTCTTGTAGAACATAACTAGTACAACAATATTTAAAAAAGCTCCAAGTACGGCTAAAAACCCAACGCACGTAATTTTTACCACTGTAACAAAAATAAAAAGAAATATTTATACCTTATTTTTTTTACCAATTATTATGATACATAATATATTAAATAAAATTAACAAATAGATAACCTTCACATATTCGTCATATTTTTTTCAAACGAGAAGTATACGAACATTGATACAATTTCAAAATAATATTTTTAAGCGGGTTTTAAATTTAAAATATAATAAATGCATTTAAACTCGATAATTTTTCAATGATGATAAGCTATTAATAAAAGATAATATTGGAAAAATCATAAATATAATTTTATTGTAATTAAAAAATGCATACAACTTATTAACCCTATCTCAAGTAATAAACTATAAAACTTCAAACTTAACAAAACCTCGCACAGTGTGTATTTGTGATTTTCCACTAGGTATACAATAAAACTTTAATGTTATATAAATATTTATTCAACATTAAACTTAAAACAACTAACATACAAAAAATTAATTTAACAATGTAATACATACTTGTTACTTGTCTTATACATCAAAATAGAAAAATTTAATTTAAAATCAAAAAATAATCTCAAATTAGCACAATAACTATATACTATAACTCATACAGTTACACTAAAACAACTATACTTAATATCTAATAACTTTTTTTTTAATTATTAATTAATTTATTGAGAATACCTTTATTTTATAGATAAACAAAACAAATATATAATTTAAGTATTTAAGAGATTAGTACGACTAATTTTGAAATATTTTATCAATCATCAATAATTTTATAAGATGCAATGATTTGCCTTTTCTTATAATTATGTATTATAATTTATTTTTTAAATATTCAACTTTTATAGTTAAAATAACTGTTTAATTTGATTTCAAGTCTACGCAATTTTAAATACAACAATTTTTATTACATTAATAAATGATAAATTTAAAAAAGAGATACGTAATTCTAAGACATATAAAATAATAAAAAGCGAAAAAATATGAATTAGTAAAATAATACATAAACATATCGTAAATGTATCACTACTTATTTTCACCTGCTATTTAAATGTCTCCTATTATAGAAATTCAATCAACTAAACAGCTTGATTTTTAATTCTCGTCCAAAAAAAAAATCTTGTTTTTTTTATTATTGTCCATCGTCTCAAAGACAATTGTGTTTAACACTCATCGGTTTTGACCTAATTAAAAAATAAAACTATATTTTCATCGTAGTTTTATGGACATTTTATATTTTTAAAGTTTTCATAATTTTATTAAAATTAGGTTTAGGTTAAATACATTAAATAACTATTCAGTTTAAGCTTAAATAAAACATTGTGAGTATGAATCGATTAGGTTTTATTAAAATATAAAAAAACATGGTTCATCCACAAAAATCAGGGTTCATTAAAGTAAACTAATGTGCATTCTTATTTAGGTAATATGATCTTACCATTGTGCCAGTCCTGGTCAACGTGCATAATGATTCATCCGTGACCAGTGGATGGTAGTATTCGGCATTTTAACTAGTCGATATCCTGCATCGATGATTCCCCTTTACATAACTTCAAACTATACCTATAATTATTAGAATGAAAATATGCATAAGTATATCTAATTATATTAGAATTTATATTATAGGTATATTGTAAATTATAATATAATATCAAAAAATTACTTAATGATTATTAAAATAGTAACCAACATATGTTATACGTTTTTAATTGTCAAATTACACAAAATGAAATAACAACTAAACATGTAAGTAAATACTCAGTATTTTAAATGTAATAATAAAAAACATTAAATTTATTTTAATTTACACGACAATTAAGTTACTATACTAATATTAAACCACAGGGGTGGTTGCTGAAAATTACATGTACCCATGAATAGTTACAGATTGTAAAAATTTAAAAAATAATGTTTTAAAAAGGTAAACAAGTGGATACTGCTTTGTTGTACATTAAGCGTCAAGTACATTATGAATATGTAAAATTTGAATTCTATGACATATCAATTGTAAACGAAAAACGATTATAATCGTTAAAAAAAATAACAGGTCATATCACCAAGTATATTTCTTGATATATTTTTTGATTACCTATTTAAGTCATTTATTTTATTTTATTATAACAGTAAGTTAATGCGTTTTTTCCAAAAATATTACAATTATTATATAATTAGTATTTAGTTATTATAATAGTATATTTTTGTACTATATATTTAATTTTTCAAAAATTTTGATCAAACAAATAATTTTTTATCGACATTTGTAGAAAAAAAATTGAAATTTTTTTATGCCTATAAATAAATAGATCAGAAATAGTCTAAATATTTTGAAAATTTTATCATAAATTTAAAATGATAACATAAGCATTTGGTTAAAATTTTAAGTACCTGCAGCTATTTTTTTTTGAGTTTTATCAATAAAACAAAATCGATATTTTTTAAAACTCGATTTGCGTAAAAATACTGGTTTTTCTTTAATTTTTTATTTTTCCTAATTATAAAAATAAATACATATTGGGAATTTCTAAATTTACCCCCTACCTACCAAAAAAATACCAATTAGATCCAATTTTCTACCAGAAACCTATATTTTTTAAAACCTAAGCATTTTATCGACTACTTATCATTCATAACCACAAAAAAAAAAAAAACAACACACATCGTTGTAAAATCAATACATTCATTACTTCACTTAAAATCTAAAAATTAAAATGATTATTTATGTGTATTATGTTTAACCTGAATAAAAATTTTCAAGAATTAAATTGAAACTTTCATTTATAGTTATCGTTTATTTCATTAGTTTTAGGTTTTAGCTGTTATACATCTTTATACAGTATTATTCTAGCTAAATTTTAGTAACGTACCTTGTACCTACCCTTTGTGTTGGTTATCCGTCTAGTTCGACGGTAGTTACCATAGTTACCAATATCCAGTGATGTTTGAATGAGCGCAATAGGCCCCCTTTCTCTAGGGAATATTTTTCCTTTTTACTCCAGAAAATTCACTAAAACAATCAAAAATCCGTTAGCTTTAGCATTGAATTTAAAATACAATCTATACTGAATATAGTCCTTTCATTTTTTTTAATACTAATACATAAAAAAGTATGAACAGGTACAATGAATAATAAATATTATATTTAAAAAAATATAATTTTATAATATTCAAATCATTTCATGAAAATTTAGATGTTAATAATGTTTCAGAATTTCTAACCAAAAGGTTACTCATTAAATTAGTTAAATTATTAACTAGTTAAACAGTTGTTCTAATTTCAATCTATCTAATTACTAAAGCGTGAATTTGTATGCATTTACATATTTATTCTAGTTAATTGTGTGATATGCTAAGTAAGCACATTTATTTCATTACAGAGTTTCAAAATATGAATAAATTTTAGTGCATATTTAAACCATCAAGGCTTAAGAATTTATTTTACAATTTTATTTTCAGATTTCAATATGTAAAATAAATTTATTTATTTTTTAAATATTTTTGAAAAATTTCAAAAAAAACTATTGTTACCTTTAAAATAATTACTATCCATTTTAATTTTAATTTTTTGTTTTACAATTAATATTGAAATAGATTATATTATATTATTTAAATATATAGAATTCTTGGATTATTGCCTGCAGTTACGATATTTATAATGGTATTTAACTATTAGTATGTAACTAAGGCTAAAAAAACCCAATTCAGAACTCAAATTATTGATATTATTAAATCAATGGCGTAAAAAAATTTATCAATCATTAGCGTGTTCGTGTCGAGTCTTTTTTTTAAATACTGAAAAATTAATCTTTGTTCTCGAATTGTTTTATCGTTAAATGTGTGTGAATTTGAATGAAATAACTTTTAACTTATGATCAAATTGTATTATATATAAGTTATCTGAAGTGTAAATTAATAACGATAAACAATATTTAATTATTTTTTTTTTTTAATTATTGTCGAATGCAATTTTTTTAATTATACTTTAACATTTTAATGCGTATCAATCCACTCTCTATTAATGTAACTTGAATAGGGTTTGTTCAGTTATGAATTTAGAAGAGGTGGTTAAATTTCTCTTCCACTGCCATAAAAGAAAAAGATTTAATAAATTGTAACTATTAATTACTAAGATATTGAAACACACATAGTTATAATTTTAATTTTTTTTATACATATAGATATGTTACAATAATTTATATATTTAATTTTTTATAATATATTGTTGAATAAGTGAATTTATAATTTACTCTTCACCTAAATATAACCACTATGACTTGAAACCATTGACTTCGATCAATGTAATTTTGAACTTAGTAAAAATAATAATATTTAACTATAAATATCTAGATATTTTTTTGATCTATTTTCAAGTATCTTTTATGATAAATTATTTTTATTAGATAACATTAAATAGATTAGATCATCTACGATCTACCTAATATTGTTTAATATATATAACAACTAGTATTTATTACACATTTTTTATACATATTTATTATTTACCTAATATAAATTTGAACACATTTAATTTTATTTAACAATAAAATATTCATGCATATTGAGCATGTTTCATTTTTGACTTATAAATTGCGTATATAAACCAAGATATTAGCATGCAGGTAGTGTAAATACGTATTTTATCAAGACTTTTAAATTAATAAAATCGAATAAAGGAAGTTAATGAATTAGTAATTATAAAGCCGTTGTTATATACGTCTATAATACTCAGAAAGTCAAAATGGAAATATTATAAATAATATATAGTTGTTGTGTGAACAGACTGACCTTTAGTTCTCAAAGTACAACAAATATTGACGTGGAAGCATTGAAGCAACCGTGAATCATTTTATTAAAGAACAGAATTGACATGCATATTATTAATCACATTTCTAATTATCAAAAAGCTCAAATTCATGAAATCAATTTAAAATTTTACAACAAATAGGAGAGCCGAAGAACATCAATTTTACAACAATTAAATCACCTCAACAAATTATGTAAATGTGTTTGCAGATATATAGAACGATTCACCAACAATATTATTTTACAGCCTATTATCCCTTTATAATGTTAATTTTAAATTCTAATTTTTGAAGTTCTTATGTATACATAAAGCCATATTATTATTTAGATTTTTATACCATGAATTTTTTTTTCTGTGTAAAACAAAATTTTTATTTTTAAGCAGATACTATTTAACTTATACTTAACTATTTATATTTAAATTTAAATTTAATTGTCACCTATTAAAAAAAATATAGGATGAGCAAGCTTGGTAAATCATCTTCCATATGAATCAAGAAGTTATAGTATAAGGATATTATAACTATTGCGTATAAGTTCATTTTGATTAGGATCGGGTCAGTGTATATTTTTGGTTTTATATATCTATTTTAATATCATAATTATTTTATAAGAAAAAATTACAAGTACACATAAATAGTATACAACGGTTATTTTTTATTAAAGAATATTATTTCGTCAAAATTTAAAATTCAAATATCAATAACAAAAACATACTTTTATATTTTTAGGCTTTTAGGTTCCGGTAAAAACTATGATTGAAAAAATTTGTATTAAATAATTAACTTTTAACTTTAAAAATTGAACATTTTATACATTTTATACATTTTTTACTTCAAAATAATTTACACGTTTTGGCGATTTAAAAAAATAATGTCATCATTTCAACTTCAGATACTTATAAAATATTCATGCCTACATATTTTAAATATTTTAAAACTACTAAAACAAAAAAACACGTAGAACAGTACCTCGTGTTAAATTTTTAAACCTAAACAATTTTATCAACACTTCAAAAAATAAAAAATTATATAAATAGGTTAAAATTAATATTTATTTTATAGAAAATTATAATTTAAGTAACAATGAAATGTTTCTAAGTTTCTAAAATATATTCTTAGAATTATATTGAAATAAACTAAAAACATGTAATGAAATGAGTGAATATCCAAATTCGTCGAAATTTCAATTAGAAATACTATTAAAATGTTACTGTAGATTACCCTTATAATTTTATATTCCTACATAAAAATTTATAACGAATTTTGTATTAAATTTTTAAGTATTTAACTAAAAGAAATATTTTATCAATATTTCTAGAAAAAAAAAGAAAAAAAAATATGACAAATGTAAATAACATAAAAGATTCTCAATATTTAAAAATTATATCACACATGGAAAATTATAAAATAAACGTTTTACAAAAGTTTCAAGTATCTATGGTTATTTGTTTTTATTTACAACAATAAAAGTAAAATATTTTTTTAAAAACCATTTTTCTCTTAATTACTAAGAATATTACTAGAATATTTTTCTTTTGACTCTTAAATGTACTAATTAGATTATATCAGAAAAGATTTTAAAGAAAAAAAATTTAAAAATTAAATCATTCTTGCTACTATAAAAAGTATTTTTAAGCACAAAATAAAACACACATTTCATTTTAAAATAAATACAACAATTAATACGTTCATCATCTAAAATTATTGTTTTAATAACAGTGATAGTAGTTAAATTAAAAAAAATAAATAGTTACAATATAAATAATGTTTTGTTAAAATTTATTCGTTAATAGTTTAAATAACAAATAGAACATAGAATAATCAACATTCTTACATATACATCAATTGTTAATATTAGATATATTTAATACAATATTATACTGTAATATAGTAGGTACATTGCAGAATTTTATAAATTATTGCTTACGAAAAAATGATTAGTAAAGTTCAATTTATTAAAGACTTTATTGACTATTTAAACATAATATAAAGTTGATCATAAATATAATTTTGAATATTCATTAATATTATTTTAGTGAATAAAATTATCTTTTATTGAAATTCCAAGAAAATAACTAAAAATAATCTCAGAAACAAAATTTAATTAGATTAAATATATTCAAAACTAAACTATATATTTAATATGATAGATAATTTTATTTAAATATTAATTCCGCGGAAATTATTTTTTAACTACTTTTGTTTTTTTACTAAAACAAGTTTATTAAAAACAAGCATAGGTAATGTAAATTTTGTACCAAAATATATATGATTACATGAAATTTATGAGTAACACTATTACTTTATCAATTAATAATCACAAGATAAACTGATTAAAAACAAACATCAATGTAAAAATAACACATTCCTCACTTCGCTAAAAATATAGAAGTTATATATTTAAACTGATTATAAACAATATAAAATAATTCAATTTATTGGTATAATGTATGGTTTCATTCATACTAAATTATTGGCAAAAACAGAATTTTACAAAATAAGCCATACAACAGTTTTGTTGACTGAAATTGTTACAGTAGCTTTAAATATACAGAATAAAATATATATTATTACTCAATAATTGATTTTCACTATCTAACCTTATCTTGTATATTTTTATTAATAGTTAACATGGGTATTTCAAAAATTTATCAAAAATCAAAAACAACTTAGCAATTAATAAGTTATATTTATGATTAACTAAGTAAAAATGTATTTTAACCGATGATAATTTTCACAAACGTACAATTACAATGGGTTGTTTTAAATTTTGAGCGAAGGAAAAAATGTGTTGATCTACCATGTTCTTTTTTTGTCTGTATACACAATAGGTAGTGTAAAAAATACATCAATCTTCAACTCTTCAACTTAGAGCGTGGTTTCTGGTAGTAAATATTAAATTTTGTTCATTTGAGAGAAAAAAAGTAAAAATTCCCAGTATTTTTTAAAATAATCGGAAAAATAAACAAAAAATTAAGAAAAAGCGATAATATTAACACAAAATTTGATTTTAATAAAATCAATTTTATTTGTTTAGTTTAACTCAAAAATGAATAAATAGTAAATATTTAAAATGTTCACTAAACTATTATAACATTTTATCAGCAATATAAAATAAATACATAAATCATAAATATACTTAGTGATATAAACTGACAGACAGTCTTCACTCAGAATCATTTTTCGTATGCAATAATTTATC